CTCTGAGCAGGGCACTGTTCGGCAATCGTCGGGCTTCCTGTGCAGCTTCTTTGAAGGCCGCTTCAGGTTCGGGACTTCGTGTGCCAGGACTCTTGTTGTCCGTTTCGCTCCGTGTGCAAGTGCGAAGTACTCAGCACAGCCACGGCCAAGCGCAGGAGCAGCGGGGACAAAATGGACCCCATGCGATGGGCTCGTGTCATTAGGACTTTGAAAGCTCATAGTACTGCACGCTTCTGTTAAAGGGGTGTTGACACGGATGGAAGTCTTTCAAAGAAGCAGCCAGCTTAAGACATGCAGGCGCACTGCGTCTCTGGCACAGTCCGGTCTTTGCCAACCCGGTACCTTCCCAGCACACCAGAGTTAACACGAGCAGACGCGATGCACACACGTCAATCAGCATGAGGCACGCAGCCAACGGCTTGTCCTCAGCGAAATCAACGCGAATGGGGACCTCAACGAGCAGATGGACATTCCCGAAAGAAGTGACTGCACAAATGATCGCAGACTAATTAGCCTCGAGTGAAAATTGCCGAGGTCACCACTCCATGGACCGGTGTGCCAGCCAGCGCCGCAGCCTTGTCAACGGCCTGATGCACAAGCGACATGTCGTGCTAACTTCAAGTGTACCAATCAGCTTCGTCTTGAATGGCAGCTGAATCATGCCTCTGTCTCGAAAAACTTCACGTGGCCGAACTTGCCGTTTCTAAGTTGGTTGACCTCCGTGTCCAACACAGACAATGTGGGCGAAGTGTTCAGGATAGTGGCAACAAATGGAGATTTCGGGAATCCTTTTTTGTCTGCGGATGCATGTACCCACTGCGGCCCCTGGTCTTCAGACAAGTGTAGGCGAACCATCACGATTTAGATTCGACTTCGGGCCGTGTGAACATGTACAGCAGTACATAATTTTGAAACGTTCGCCAAAGGCGACAATAGTATGCCACACAGCCTGCAGGCAGATCATCTCAACTCCACCACATGGCTCAAAGAGATCGATAATGTCCTGCACAAGACCGTCAAGAAAGCAGGTCTGTTTGTGTCCACCACATGTTCCGGAGATCAAGAGCTCTAGTCTTGTGCGGTGGCATTGTAGCCATCGGGATATGATGCTTGCCTTCGCAGAGAGGCATGTGCAGCCTTGCGAACTGCTCAGATGGGCAGGCCCTTCAGCCCAACTCTTCAAAGCACACAGTCCGCCACACGTTCCAGATGTCATGTCCAGATTCCGCAGCGACTGCATCCGTAAGTGTCGTCCAAGGCTTTCTCTGAAAGCCCTTGTGTCCTGCTCGGAGGCCTCTATGGAAACGTCACCGACCCAGAGCCTGGGCGCAAGGTGTGAGTGATTTTGTGAAAGTCGTTCAAGCTGCACAAATATGCAGACATGCAAGGCAAACAGAACGGAGGCTTTCGTCAAAGTCGCTTTCGCAGCTCAGTAACCCTTCTAACGCCCTCGAGTGCCTTCGTGGTCGTAATCTTCCACACAGCCATGTGACGCACCGAACTTGTGCAACCACGGAGCATGAAATATCAAATAGGCATGCCATTCGTCATGAAGGCTGCAGATGCATACAAGAGGATGATGATAGTAGGAAAAGAGGTGAAGAGCTAGCTTCTTCAACAGAACTTACTTGAGGCTGCAACTACCAAGCAGCTGCCAAATGCTGCCAAAAGCTTCCAGTAAAAGAAATGGACTCAAAAACAACCCTCAGCCCGCGGCGTGTGGCCATTCGGGGGCTTGACGCTCTTGGGTCGGTACCGTCGGCTGCTAGGTGCCTGCGGAGCTTGAGCTGTGAAAGCGGATTCGAAGCGTCCAGCAGACCGTCATAGATCGTAGATGAACAAACAAATAAATCAATTAATACATGAGTAAATGAATAATTTGAATAACCTATATATGTTGTATGTCATCATAGTTAAAGGAGCTTGTACAAGCCGATAAGGTGCTGTTCGAGCCTCCGCTTCCAGCTTAGGGTTGTAGGCCACCTGCAGCGACCCACATGCCGGCAACATCAAAAGAAAAGAAATCACCATTACTATTACTATTACTACTACTATTACTATTACTGTAGCTATTACTTCTACTATTACTACTACAATTACGAAAAATACTACTACTATGACCACTATTATTACTGCTACTTTTACTATTACTAGTTCAACTCCTATTATGATGATGACGACGGTGATGACTATGATTATGATTTGAAAATGATTATTCCTGTATTTTATTATGGCGGCGCAGAAACTCCAATCACGACGTCTACCTGCAGCAGGCCTTGTCCATGTAGGCATAGTCTATCTGGATCTTGATTCCTGGAGGCTTCCAATCTCGAAAGTCTTCCCATTCCTGCTGAGGCCCGTGCCCATGAAGTCGTCGCCCTGCTTCTTCATCGCTTCGTCCACGTTCCTCGTGTCCTCAAACCTGTTCAAGAGACCGTGCCCTGCGAAAGTCGCGTGTTCCGAGCGTACAGCACTCAACAAGCACCAAGATCCCAACTGCACATGCGCAAAGTACCCACGCACATGACGTTCACTGCATCTGACCTGCGCAAACGGTTTGGCACATACAGCAATCCGACAGCAGGGACCGCTGGGACATGCAATTGCAGCCCAGCTTTCGTCATCCAGCATACGCAATGAAGAAGCGTCGATAGAGCGTGTTACGATTTGGATGCAAACAGCCTCCACGATCTTGCCGCAGTCCTTAAAGAAGTCCTGAAGCTCCTGCCGAGAGTCGCAGAACAGCAATGGACCGATTAACAAGGGATTCTGTGTTGCTGGACCGGCCTCCTCCTCGGGCTTCTTGTCCACCCAACCGACCCAGATGGTTTTACAACCTTGTGGCAACACNNAAAAAAAAAAAAAAAGAGAGAGCAACGGGACAGCGCAAAAGCCGGGCTCCGGGCCTTCAGGCTTCCTCGGCTGAAAGGGACACAGATACTTCTCAATACTTCTCTTCACAGCCACACCAAGAAGGCTCCCTGTCGTCCTTTTGAAAGCCGAGGTTCTTTGGTCGGTGCGGTCCTCCGCGACCTGAGGTCTCCCGACTACATCATCATGAAACAACCTAAACCTCTAGGTGTATATATATATATATACTGATTTATTATTTAGCTATATCTATATTTATATAGATACACACACATCCTCTCATAGTTAGATCACCGAATACAGCTAGACACATGGAGCTAATTCTGATGCAGTGGGCAAGACAAAAGCTGTCAGTGTGCGCTGCAAAAGAAAGTTGAAAAGGTGCACCTGAAGGCATCTCTCCTCGAAACCGTACGTGCAATCTTCAAAGCACGACTGCTTTGCGATGATTCGCACGAAACAGAAGCCCTGCATGCCATTTAAGCCCGAATGCTTTCCCTGCCATTAAATTCTTCCAATCAGCAACAGCTGTCTGCACTGGCTCTGCAGGACAAGGAACTTCTGCCTGTTCATCTGCACAATTTGCCCTGGGCTTCAGACGCCCTCCGCCATCGTCACGACTTCGGCTACGAGGTCGCCGTCGCCCACGGCTTCCTGGCAGCTCAAACGACAAATGCGGGCCTGTTTTGATCTTGGCTGTCTAGATGGAAAAGCTTGACTACTCCTTTTGCAGACACACACACACACAGAGACAGAAGCAGCGGGTGGGATGTGTCTACCGTTTGCAATGCCAGCAAATCGAAAAAAGCGACGCATGCCTGGGCTAAGGTCCCTGCTCCTTCGAGCACCGCTGCGGCTGCGTGGCGAACGCGCCGGTCGGCTTCGATCCCTGGAATGTCTCACAGGATGCGACCACAAGTTGTGGCAACTGGGCTAACACTGTCAGCGGAGTCGCCTGCTTTTGCCGGCTCCCGATCTGGACTTCTTCCGTCTGCGTGCCGGCGAGCGGGGAGGCGGCGATCGGGGCCTCGACAAACAGCAGCGCGACGGCCCCGGCGACTGCGCCGGAAGGCACCGAGCAGCTGGCGGAGACCTCTTGGCCGATCCAGAGCGCGACCGAGCTGGCGCTGAAGCCGAACGAGGCCGACTCCTTCGAGCTTGCCCGTGCAGATCCTGAAATGCTGTCAGTCACGAAATGCCGCGAGCCTCAGTTTCTGTCGATTCTCGGAGCGCTTGCGTCGCCGCCGGCGCTCGGGCGATCGCTTCGGCTCGGAGCGCCGATCCGGGCCTGAGCGTGTCAAAGCGGGTCGTCAGGGGCCCACCACTCCCACAGAAAGTTCTCCTGGCAAAAAGTCGATATCGCCCCGACGCAGACCAGAGCAAAAAATGTCCGTTGCGTTCGGCAGCCCCAAGAACATCTTGCTGATCGAAGCGCAGCAGGTCGCTCAGTCTGTGACTTGCCCGGCTCTTGCTGCGGCTCCGGGAGTGGCGCCTTACAGCATCCAATCTGAAACAGCAGCATAAGTTGCTCATTCAGTAGTGCGGCACGGCTTGCAGGCTTGTAAGCCTAAGCTCCGAACGCCATGATGGCCAATCAAAACGGGCTGCTGCTGTCCGAATCGGACCCCTGCTCTGCTTGCAAAGTCTGACTGAGGTTGAGTTGTGTCTTGGCTTCGGGTTACGGCTCTACGACGGTGGATCGGCAGTCGGCTGGGTTATTGGGTGGCCATGATCTCTGCACACATCCTGGAGCTCGGCCAGCCCTACTTCCCCCATGAGGGCAGCTTGAGCCGTTAGCCCAAGGCCGTATACCCTCCCTTTGCCGAATCGGGCATCTTGCCAAGGATAGAGGTCACCAAGCATGGGCTTTGAAATCTTTGATGTGAGCAGCATCGCCCCAGCTTTTTTCAAAAGGCACCGAAGTTGAGTTCTCTTCTAGCCGACGGCCTGAGAGTCAGGGATGTGGGTTCACACGCCGGACATTGGTGCAGCACTCCAAATGGCTGAAGCAGCAGCACGAGTGCCCATTCTTGCTTTAGCTGTGCCTGGCCTACGTGCCGAGCCGGAATGGCGTGCAGATGTTCGGCGCGCCTCACGCTTCTGAGAAGCATCAGAGCCCAGCGAGAGCTTCAGGATTTATGGAGATCGTCCTGCAGTCTCGACTCCGGACTAAAAGCTGAAGCGGGTGATGCAGACCTGCACACAAGGCATAGGAGAGCTCTGCGGCGTTTCATGTGACCAGAGCCCGGGACTGGGACTGCAAAGCATGAAGTGGCCTGCCATGCTCGCTGGCTTGGGGTGAATCAGGCGCCTGTGCATGTGCAGCCATGCCGAACCGAACGGCGATCTCCATATTTCATGCCCTCATGCAAACAGGTGCACTGCGTCACAACAATCAACAGGATGGGTGAAGACGCACAGCCCAGTCTGTATGGCTCCGGCATCCACAAAGCTGACACCAAACTGGCAAGCAGCATACCAGCACACAGAGGATTTCAGGAGACTGCCATGTGAACTTGTTGTCAGGACTCAAATCACATTGGAACGCGAAGCACCTCCTCCTCTTCCGGCATGGCCCCCGAAATTGTGGCCATCACCTCCTGACACTCAACGGGATGGCGTCACGAAGCATCTCGGTGCGCACACGAGAGGGTTTGCCATAGCAGAACTTGACCGACTTGACTTGCGCGGCCCACCTCGCGAAGTCTAGCCGCCTCTTCGGCCAGCACCTGGTGTTCGAAGTGGAGCTGATCCAGCTCCACCTTTGACCATTTGGGACCATTTCCCCCTCGCCAGCGTGCTCACCACAAAACTGCCGGCCTGCTGCAGTTGTATGACGCGCCGTTGCTCAACAAGTCTGGAGGCAAGCACGTCGTCGACCTAAGAAAATGTCGAGAAGCAGACAGCGCAGACCATGAAGGCCATGGACCAAATGAGAGAGTGCTTTTCGAGCTGCTGACAAGACCCGATTGCTGCACAGCCTCGACAATCCACGCAAGCTTCAAAGAGGGATGGGAAGAGCACGGACGGGTCACTGTGCCTCCAGCTCCAATTGGGATTCAAGGTCGTCCAAGCAACGGCTCAGTCGACGCTCGGCTAGAGAGAGCTTGTAGCAGCCCTGCAGACTATGCCGAATACGCAAGACTCCATCGCTGAGAAATAATGAAGGCATTGCTGATTGTTGTAAGCATCTTGAAGCATCGTGCATACTTGAGTCTATCGCACTCACAAAAACGACGGCAGCCTCCTCGAAATCACGCATGCGGAACTCAAGACCATCCAGGAAAAGGAACACCTGACCGATTGGCAAAAAGCCCAACAAGTGACGGAACGTTGTCTCAGCACACGCAGCTGCACCGCACGAGCAGAGATCTTTTTGCACGCGCTCAGCCACCCTCAATCTGCGAGATGATGCCGAAAACCGTCTCATCCAGCACGTCCTCTGCATAACCTCTGCCAGGCGACAGGCTACTGATCCAAAGTCTGAAGACATGACCTCAGGCTGCAGCCGGGCCCTGCATAGCTGTCACCCGGCAACAGAGCGGAGGCCACATCCAAGGCATGCCTGGCAGACAAAAGCGAGAGTGGGAGCCTTCGAGGATGCCAAGTTGCCGATGCACTCGGAGGCCTCCTCACGGCAGCTGCTTCGGCTGGCCGGCAAAGCTCGAGGCATTGAGCCTGAGAAGACGATGGGACACAAGACTCCTCGTCCTCTGTGCATCTGCTAACATTCCACCTTGAGTCGAAGAAGCTCTGCGGCTTCCACCGTCAGGGTCGCCTCCCAAAAACGTCAGCCGCACGAGAACCATCAGACACTATGCCCTGGTATGCAAGCCTTACCCAGCGCTCGTTGCAGCGATCGAAGCCTGCCGGCTACTTGATTCGGGCGATGCCAACAACCGCCACACATGAGCCTGCAATCTGCAGCTGCGACAAGTTCTTCTGGTTGCAGCTGAAGGGAAGCCACTTGAGCCTCCACACGCGGTTCCATGCCACCCACATCTGCTAGCCCAATGCAAACCAACTGCCTGAAAAGCTCGCAGCAGCTCTTCGTCCATGCCACTCGTCTTGAGCAGCAGGAGCCCAGCCTGACACTGTGCATAAAGACAAACCGATTCGTGCTCCAAATCTAATCCGTTCGTCCCTCTTGTTTTTTCTTTGGTTCGTTCTCTCGAGTTCTGGGCTTGTCCAAGTTTCGCTTCTCCTTCAGCCGGTGCAAATTGCACTCAGCGCTTGATACTTACCCCCTTGAAGCAGTGTGCTCGTCTTCCTCAAACTTGTTGGTTCCTGACCAGCGCTTTGTTGCTTGTTCTTACAGTCTCAAGTCCCTTTCGAGCGGCCTCCTTGAATGTCTTACCTGTTGTAGTCACAGTCCCTTTCAAGCGGTGTGCTCTCTCCTCGAATCCATTTCGAGCGGTGTGCTCCCATCGTTTCCTGAAGTTTCTCGTCGCTTTCGAGCTTGTTGCTGCCTTCTCAGTCATCCTTGCTTCCTCGTTCTCAGACACTCTCAATCCGTCTGAGCGGCTTGTTCCTCCACCTTGAATTGTGAGTGGCTTGCTCATATTTATCAAACGCCGTCATCCAAGTGGCGCAGCTGAGTTCTCTGTCTCTCATCCTGTCGTCTTTTTCCACGGGAACTTCTGATGTTTCTCTAAATCTCGTCTCCAAGCGTCTCTGATCCATCTCGTTACATACAGTGGAGTGCTCCCGAACAGATGAGCGATGAGGGTTCAACGGAACTTCGCAGATGGCGACACATAACTGACATAACTCCAAGGACAGGCTCCACATGGGCCGAACGGAGAAATTTTGTCAATCTCTTTGACTGGCTGCATGTGTTCACCCGGCCAGCTGTTTACCTTTATCCGAACTGTATCCAACTCGTAGCCCGAAGAGGCCAAGGTGGGATATCCCATCCGTCACCTTTATCCACCTGGTTCAGCTACCTGTAGAAGCGGGAGCCGAGGATTCCCCGAGTTCATGGCGCCAGACGCACGCGTGTGCTCGGGTGGTGGATGCCACTCAATGCAATGGAATGCGCAGGTGACAACTGGACTTGCCGTGACATGCCCCACACAGCCTCCAGAGCTGCACCGGCTGCGTCGGCCGTGAGCCAGTGTGCCTGTGCCAGGGTACGACGGAACAGGGTGAACACGACATACCCCCGTGCCTCGGAAGCAGGCACTGCAGAATCAAGCTGTCTGCTTACCAACTCTCGGTGCAGAAGCACTGCTGCGGCTAGGCCATCGCTGAGGGCCTGGGAATCTTTCCACACTGTTGCCACTTCTGCCGCCAAGTCCCAGCCTCGGCATCTGTCGGCCCTCTCCGATCAGACTCCTGCGGCGCAACAGGCAAAAGCCGCTGCCATCCAAGACTCCTCGCGTAGGCCTCGAGCTGCAACTCGTCGGGTGTGCCGAGCTCTTCGCTCATCTCTTCCAGCGCAGATAGGGAGAGCGGTGGAGCTCCGGGATGCAAGAAGCTTCGAAGCAACGCCCGCCCATCAGCACCTCGGCACCTGCAGCAACGTGCAGCTGCATGGAACATGCAAACCTCCTTGTGCCCATTAAGCTTTGAGGCAAGGCTCCAGGCAGGCATCCGGCGGTGCACTCGGGCCTCGCACTTCAAAGCGGAGCTTCACTGAGGCTCGAAGGCGCTTGATTGACACACGCTTTGGGAGCCACCCACAGCTGCTCCAAGTGCGCCATCTCCTCGGCCTCCGAACTGAAAGGTGCACCGAAAGTGGGCGCTGATCGACTCTGCTTCTTTCTGGCTTCCAGAAGGGGGCAGCTCTCTTACATGTACTTTTGGGCTTATGGACTTCATGGCTCTCGGCGGAATGGCAGTCCTGCAGTCCTGCCGACCAACTGCTTGCGCTCATCTGTTGATGCTGTCGACTCTTGAAGCGGATGAACGACGAGAGGCGGGTCCAAAACACAGAGAGAGAGAGAGACAGAGACTCTCACAGCGAGATCATGGAGAACTGACCGAGCTTTTTACGCCTCGAACTTCTGAACTTGTGTGTGTGTGTGATCGTTCTGCTCATCCGCCCCAAGCTAGTTCCCTCTTCGTTTTGTATTCAGCCCATGTCTACTGACCATCCCTGTGCTTGGTCAACGGGTGGACAGCAACACCCCCGAGTCTACTCCGGGAGCATGCCGGGTCATCTTGGGTGTGCCTCAGCATTTTTTCCGCAGGCTGCGCAAGCTGCCCAGCCATCCAGCTCTGCGGTGGCACCCCCTAGCTGTACCTTCACGCAGCAGATACAAAAGGGCACATGCCTGGCTTTGGCTTTAACCGAGAGCTGAATGCCCAGCATCGATACCTGTAGCTCTGAGAAGGCCGATACTATGTTTTCCGCAAATTTCATCCACACGAACCTCGGCGGCGTCGTGTGAGCCGAGAGGGTCACTTTGGTCGCCTCTGCAAGTGCTTCGCACTACGCTTGTCGCGCATCGTCCGGGTCCGGGTCGCGGCCATGCCTCGCCACGGACCTCCGGCCTCTGCGAGGGCTAGAGCGGCTGGAGCCGGGCAAGAGCTTTTGAGGAATGGGCAGCAGCTTGTTGTCGTGGCCCGTCAGGAAGCGGAAGCGGCCAGGACCTCCTTCTGGAAGTAGAAGCCGGTCGTGACCGGAGAGCCACTGGCGAATGTTCTCGGCATCCAGGGCCAAAGCATCGTCCGGCTCGAGTGCCTCTAGCTCTGCCCTGAGCCTTTTCTGCCGCTTCTTTTGAAAGCGCACAGAGCAGTGGAAGCACAAGCGCACCACGTTCTGCCAGGAGGACGCCATCGGCTGCACACCGAGCTCTTTCAACTCGAAGGCTGAATTCATCATCCTCTCGTTCAGCCTTACCAGGGCAGGATGTGTCTCAGCTCTCTTCATTTCTTCTAGAACGAGGTAGGCGTTCTCAGACTGGTGTCTGTGCGACAGGATGTATCCATGGAGCAGCAGGGTGTAGGCCGTCTCGTCGTAGGGAATAGCACGGTCTTTCAACTCCCAGAAATAACGCTCCCAAAGGCTCCAGTCAAAGTAGCACATTGAGTGAAAGATCTTTCGATAGATCTTCTTTCTCAGCTCTTTGACTTGGTCCTGGGTCAAAGCTTCACCGGGCTGCGGCTCCAGCGGAGGATTGGGGGGCCATCGAAAGTTTGGATCTCCCACCGGCTTGGCAGCGGAGGTCTCGTCGTAAGGCCACTGGGGCCACACAGTCACACATCGAAATTGAGAGAATCGAGCCAGAGGCCTGAGACGGGTCCAGCGCTGCATCGAGGACAGGCAGTGGGCTCATGTAACTTCCGTGCCATCTGCGGAACTAAAGGGTCAGCGTGGCTCAGCAGTCCTGGAGCCAGAACAGCTGAAGCCAGAAGTTAGATAGGGGTGTGCACGGAACCGGCTCCGTCCGTCAACACGTTGATGGATGCGCTCTGTCTGCGTGTGTTGCATCTGTGCGAATCTTCTGTACCATGTTGTTTACTACCTCTGGAGAAACCTGCACGGCATCCACCTGTCCAGATGCAGGTTGCTCTTGGGAGAGATCGCAGGACAGATCGCACGGAAATGCAGCAGGCGCACATACTGGCTCCGGAAGCCAATGAGGCCATCCCGACCTCGTCGTCATTGCGGCATGAACCAACACATGCACACACACACACACACACAGAGAACTAGATACGCTGTTTTGATTGTTGTTCGTGGGCCCTTCTGCTGATCCAAACCAGGTGAACTACCCCGACCTTCAATTCACGACTTCATCTTGACCAGGGTTGCTGTAGAATCAACTCAGCAAATTAACCGGGAAGCGAACACGAGGGACACGTATAACTTCGTCGGTCATCGGGCATGGTGCATCTGGAACCATGGGTGACATAGTGCGCCAACACACAAACGGCACATGTGCTGCAGAGCTGTGCCTTTGGCACGCGCACAGGAAGCCCCACGTCTGACTCAGCAGCTTCCTAGCACAACTCCAACTGATTGGAGTGACAAGATCGTTGTTAAGTCATCTTACCCAAAGCATCTCCACCTCCGGATCGACGAAGGCTCGAGGAGATCTGACTCTGACAAGTAGGACCTGGGCTCCGGGGCTTCAGAAGCAGATTCGCGAAAATGGCAGCTGAGCTGAAGGCACTGTGACCTCCTCGCCAACCCGAATGCTGGTCAAGGCAACAATCCTCACTCGACGTGTCGCAGCGAGCCCACCAAGCGGAATCACCGAGAGGCCTGACCCCACCATCAGCATCAACACTTAAACGGGCTCTGGGCCTCAGAGCAAAGGATGGAAGAAACCATGTGTGGAAAGTCACGTTTTGTGGCTCCGGCAGACAGGAGTGGTTGGCTCGGCATGCAATGGCATAGAGCCCAGTTCTCCCATCCGGCACCTCATGTTGTTGGAGCTGCCAACAGAGCCACGCTCATGCTGAGACCAGAAACACCTCGACTCCGTTGATGCGCAGAACCTGGGCAAGACCATCCAAAATCTTGAAGCAGCGGGTAAGCCGGGGTGACGGGTAAGCCGACGTGGTAGAAGCTGTGTCTCCGCGCCCGCAAGAACAAAAATGCTTCATCATCCCCTTTGCACACTTCCTCCTCTGCAAGCCAGTCCTGGAAGCTCTTTGTTTTGGCTCATCGTGGTGCACAAAGGGCAAAAAGCACCACGGAGTTCTCTGACGCTGCGAGTCCTCGAAACCGGGCTCCTCTAGGTCCGGGACGTAGAGCGAAAGCACCGCATGCCTGCGTGGCTTTAGGAACCGTTCGAAGCCCTTCGAATCTCAAGCATGCGAAACACCTCCCATCACAATGAAACAGTCCGACGAGGATTCATAAACACACCCGATTCGCAATTCGACCATGGACAAGAGACAGACCAGGCATGGTCCAAGACAGTCATGCCCATGACCCCAAGAGGTTTTTTCTCGAGAGGGTGGTTTGTCAAACCCTCGTGGTTTCTTACAGCAAACCTTTGCAGACGCGGTCCTCTTTTCGGCAGTGAGCTTTCGAAAACTCGCCAGTGCCTGCACGAATCATGTCAGGATAAATGCATATCTACATGTATCGATTCTCTTGTGTGTTTGCTCATATACAATATACTTATGAAGAGGCACATGTGTCTCTCCATACATGTGTATACATACATACCTACCCACCCACCCACCC